ATAACCTAACATACGTGCAATAACCTGTTATCGCCAATTTACTGATTTCTTTTATTCTGTTTCTCTTGAGTTTGGTTCGAATATGGTAGGTTATGGATTACACATCTTGTTATCGCTAAACCGCTGCTTTCCTGATTAAGCTTATATTGGGTTAGAAAAGTGGGGCAATATCCATCCTGACTGTATGGGTTTCATCCTGGTATCACCGCGTCGATAATTTCCTGATCTGTTAATCTTGGTCACAAAAAGTTGGATGGTAGGTAGGGCAATAACTTAAAGTTACCATAATTTATCGTTCCCTGTGATGGACAGGATCAAAATAGGTAAACAAACAATAACCCACACGCGTATTACTCTGTCAAACCAAGATACACAGAATCTGAGAAACAGGTCAAAATTCGTGCTGGGACAATCACAAGATAACGTCCATATGGTGAGTTTAAATCATTAGCCACCAATCCTAACCCAACATACGAAAACATAATATTTAAAATATAAATAAGTAATAGTGATGCAATAACATAACTTGTCTCACCTGAGATAAACACAATCAAATCGAATTATTGATAGCGCAACAACTTCTGATCGAAATACGTGAAGTATTAACAATGCGTGATTATCTGAGGAACTTCCGATCCGTCGCCATTGAAAGTGTTTATATTCAATTGGTTTGCGATTAAATTTGAACCCGATAACATTACCGCATTGCCACAAATTTATATTTTTAGAAGATTCAACAAGTTTTATGAAATTTTGACAAAAAAATGAAAGTAAAATAATGTAACAATTTTTTTTTTTATCAGATTTTGAACACTGTTTACTGTAAGAAATATTAATAAATTTGAACAAATTTTTCCAGTCATTCAAGTTTTCTGAAAATTTTGCTCTTTCATCCAAGCAAATTACTGTTGGCATACTATCAATTGAAATTTAAACTTGCTGGACCCACACTCCGCCTTCCCAAAAAACACGGACTGCCAATACCATTGTGAGATTTTAACATTTTGATATTTTGGTATAAAACGTCAAAAAATATCTTTCAAAACCATTTCGTTGAAATAGTTTCGAGGTTTGTTCATAACCACAAATTATTCCTTCTCTCACTTTATTCCCAATAAAATTTAGTTAGCGGATGGCGGTGCAAGGTCTTATTTGGGGCGAAAGGCAGGAAAACGTCGTATTTCGATTTAAACCACTCTAATACTTGAATTACCTTAGAACTAATAAATTTAACGATTTTTTCGCAAGTAAAGTTATCAGTTTCGTAAACATGGTAAAATCTTTAATAAATTTGTCAACCAGTGCCAAGCACACGGGCTTGTTTATTTTGGCTGGTTTGGTTGTGAATATTTTGTTTAGCGATGACATCAGATTAAATGCAAATAAGATGTGCAATTTCTTAAATTTTCATGTCCTCGTTATATTTTAATGGTCATATTTTCATTCCCATGCGCCGTGGTTTGTAATACAGAAATTGAGCTAACTTAGCTATTCCATCTATTACATAACGTTTGTCTATTCCAGGGTTTGTATAAATAATATTACGAGACTGAAGTTGGTCCAGACCTAAATTATCTATCGAATCTGATTTTGCATCCCCGGTTCAGAGTTTTCTAAACTCTAAATTTCAGTTTATGATTACCAGGGGTGCTTGCAACTTTACTTTGAGTCTGTTCACTATTCTTAATAAAATGTCCGGGACCTTATATCAAACAAAAACATGCGAGGATTACGATTATGAGTGGTATCTTAAATTTGTACAATTTCTAATTTTTTTAATTTTCAGTTGAAGCAAGTTTATCTAAAAATTTTTTTTATTGAAAATACTAGAATCACACGTATTTAAACAATGTTCCCTTTCATTTATTCTTTTAAATATTTCACAACATTACTTTGTTTACAATGTAAATACTGACTTTATATTTTGTACACAGAACCCACACGACAAAAACAGAATTTACTTTGTCAGTTTTGAAACGATTGAATTATTCATATTATCTGAGTAGGATTCCATTTATTTTTGTTAAGATGGATCGAATTCGAGGGAAAAATCGACTTTTAAGGATTAAAAGATTATTTTGCTTTTTTTTATTCTTGGAAAAGTATCTTCTTATATAAAATCCAGTTTTATATTTTACATAATGACCAATTTATTTAGCTCGAATATTGATTACCTAGTGCCTTGGGTTCAAGAGGAGTCATATTTCAGAGTTCAAGTTCACAGCAAAGCGGCAAGATTCCAGTTCTCCGGTGATAGTTTTTATCTCTATCCAATACATTTTACGGTGCCTTGTTCAAAGTGAATAACGCCAAACTCCATAACAAATTAGCCATGATATTTGGATGTTTCGATTACTAAGCGATTTGTATGTTTAATTTCATAGAAATGACTTGTTGAAGCTTCCGTTCACATCAATAACTTAAGTTATTAGTGAGTCACGTTCAAACCATTCCTGGACGCATAAAAATCAGAAAATTTAATGGGAAATTCGGGTACTTGCGACTGGTGTTTACGCTCGAATGTATTGTAATCATTGAAGATTGACTTGGCAAAATCTGTATATCTATATTAGGATAAGAATATTCTGACCAACTATGCACAGACCCAGTCAGAAGTTAGATTCACATTGTAATCAATGAAGATTGACTTGGCAGAATTGTTATTCTCATATCCAGATTACTTTATTCTGACCAACCATACTATATAGGAAACGTTCAGAGTTCACTTTTTCATTCAAGTACGCATAACGTGTAAACACGACCTTATAGCTATAATATTTACCGAATTCTCGGTACACAGAAATTTTGAATACATGTTACACTTGGCCACATATAAAATGCTTTGCTTTATATAAAGCCCATGCATAACAGAGCAAAGTATTTTTGGTTCGTCTCCAACGATGTCTAGCCAAAATGTCTTCCTATTTCCATATTTTTACGCAGAAAAGCGGAATCGACTTTCGTTGTTTAATGATTATTTGACGTTGAGCGTCGTTTCGTTTTCCATCGTTGAGTAATTGAGCTTTAATTATCCTGTTTGCCAGCGTATATCGTGTTACGTTAAATTGTATTGGTATGTTAATGTAAATTAGCAGAGTGCTATGCGACTATTTCGGTCATTTTGAAACTTTTTATTCCTCTCTTGCTATGTATAGAACTACTTTATTTATTCCATGTTTCATTGATACTAAACTAGGGTTGCAAATAAAACACAACCTCGCTTTTGTACAGTTTCATTTATAATGTGTTTATAAGGTTATAGCAACACTCAACGAGAAATGAATATCAGTACTGCTGTAACAAATTTCGCCACTAAAACCATAAAGAGTTCATGGGAAGGAATCCGTCCGCACGATAATAACGCGGAAGGTTTTACTTCTCTATCGATAGAAGTTTAAACAGAGATCATTTTATGTCACGCTATAGACGCGAGCATATAAAAATGTTTTCAGGAGCAAATGGATGAACTCAAACTTATCATGATTAGGCACATTTAATCGATCGACCCATGGACTCCAAACTCTCGCTAAATCCGTTGTTGGAATCTCTAAGTATCGAAGAATCCACTTTGTTTTCTATGAATAGGCTACACGAAGCACTAACCTTAATTGCTAGTTTGGCTCAGAGAACAAAGGATTTAGAATATTTGCTTATTTAGCGACTTCTGTGAACATTTTTTGCGACGTTTTAACGCTTTCACTGCAAAAACAATTTGTGGTATATTCGTAGCGACGCTCTAAACAAGCCGCGAAAGTTATTCATCTGATCGGGTATTACCTATCGCAGCGCGTGAGCCCAATGAAACCACAGAACAGTTGGAAAGGGGACATAGTGGGATTTGGAACCTACCAATCAAAATAACACTTCAAATACCACTGGAATGATAAACAACGGGGCCATGAGTGCTAAAAACCTCCGGAAGAGGGCCACGAGCCATACAAAGTTGGGAGTCACTGACCTATAGCCGGATAGACTAGATTTAGAACCCGATATCCGAACGGTTTCCGTGTAAATACCACAATCATCCACAAATTTGTTTTGCTCAAAGCAAGGTCAAGCAAACTCACGTAGAGAATCATTCTCATGCAAAGTCACAAGCGACCACTGGAATGTCAAGAGATACCGGAATCAATATAGCATCATGGCGGTACATCAGACAGACTCACTCAAAAGTAAAGTAGTCTCATCTCAGAATTACGGTCAACCATTGAAACGCCGAGAGCTACTGTAACCATATAGGATGTGGTTGGGTTTTCTATGGTTTTCTATTGACGCGGGACTTAGTTCATAAAATCTTGATCAGAAAAACAGCTATGAGATAGCGGAATCAATTTAAGATTTTTCAAAAAACCTGGCACGAAAATTTCTCTGTTTAGAACGTTCATTGACAGTAAATGAATAAGGCTTTGATGACGTGTTTTGACTGATTCACCATTGCGACATTTAATTGCTTTCAAGTGCTGAGCTCTAATTAACAGAGAGACGTCGCGTGTGAAGGATAACCGCAAACATCTTGCTCTGTGAATGCTATCATGGTTTTTCTCGGAAATCGGGCCGATATCTCTATGGCGTTTATAGTTTTGCAACCTCGACTTTGCTAAATTGCAGATTACATTTTGATTGTATCGTGATAAGTGCATAAAACCAACAAACAGAGTACATATAAGACCGGAATAAACGTAGTGCAAATAACGCAAGCTTTACATACGCGTAAAATTTGAAAGCACACTTGATTATACACCATTATTATCCTACACAAGGGGTCATTTAAAGCAAGACAGTTGCTAAGGTCTCTAAGCAACTATGGGTCAACATTAGACACCGTATTCACAAACTTCGTACCCAATCTCAACCGGTATAACCAAACGAAAAGCGGTGATACTTCATTTCTCATCGACTTTTCTCTACTCGGGATGAATATGAATATTCTATCTCAAATCAGTATAAATTGGGCGTATGTGTTGTTACAATCAAAATTTTAATTTTTAACTCCAACGTACCTTAAATCTTGTCGGGCAGACTGCGACCTTCTGTTCCTCTTCATACTCGCTGTTATGTCCAATCGATTTGATATTCACGAGTTGCTTTGGTTTCTTCGACCAAGACTCCTTCGAAAGTTTCTCATATTCGTCCGTCGTTACGAACATGGATTTAAAATGCTTAATAATCCGCAAATTGGCGCGTTTGATCTTTGGGTTCACCGTTTGAAACGATGTTTTTTCGTTGTTGTTCCCAGTTTGAGGGCCTTGTCTCTTCAAATCAGGGTTTTTTGTATTTCCAGATAATGTCGCTGGATCGAGATTCGGATGACTCGTTACCGGCATAGCTGATCTTTCTTTATCGGGTGATTCTTCAGGATAATCGACGTCGTAATTTGGGTAATCGATTTGGTCGGTGCCTTGATAAGTGTTCTCTTGTTGTGCCGGCCAGTTCGAGTTGCAATTCCCCAAATCAGTGAGGCACTGAGCGTATTTTGAATGTAAAGCATCAAACTGCTCTTGTCTTACCGCACAGTCATCGGTGTTCTTATTAAAAAAACGCTTAGTCATGTACTGGTCTAAATAGTCATAGTCATTGTTTGACCCTTTCCGCAAATTCAGTCCTTTATTTTGCGCAACTTGAGAGTGCTCGGAATCCGCAGGACCCGGGGAAGCGACCTGTTGTTGGGGTGTCGTCTCGTCTTCTGCAAGCAAAACCCCGCCTAGAACTTCATCCGGCGTAATGCCACGCCCAGAAACCGGCTGAGGCGTGACCTCACATCGATGAGACGAGAAAAACTGCATGAAAGCATCAGTGCGATTGGCGCAACTTGCGAGACAATTCCGACAGAGATAGTAGCTCAACGGATTATGCACATTTACACATTCAGTAATGCAAGATGCACAACGGAGATATTCGGACACATCGTTTGAATTCAAGTTCATGTTCGTTTCCCACGGCGTCGTAAAAATTGTGTTATTTTGCGTTCCAGAACTTTCAACATTTTCTCGTGATTCAGAATTTTCTTCAATGGCTGGCCTCCCCGTAACCATAGCAACGAATGTAAACAATGCCAACGCAAATACAAAATTCATTTTAAAGTTTCGTTTCAATGTTTTACTCAAATAGAATCTGAATAATAAATTATATTATTGATATATTGGGATGCTACTACCGGTTATTGATAGGACGGCATACAGAACTAGTTAGAAGCGGACCTTCGAGATTTTGTTAACGTTTCGAATAATATTGCTAATTGGGTTCTCCCGAAGTTTGTGAACCAATATGGCGGACACCGTAATGTAGTATGTGTGCCAGGCTAGGGTCAGGCCCTAATTTTATTTCAATTTTCCCTATTTTGGTTCTATTACGAGTTCGGGGACTAGCTAAGTGACTCCCGTAGTATTTGTACCTGAAATTATGTCCTAACCCTGACCTGGTACACATACTACGTTCCGGTGTCCGCCATCTTGGTTCACATACTTCGGAAGTACCGCTAAATGCACATTTGTTTTGTTTTTTCCCTAATTGCAAGCGTATATATAAACTGTACCCGAACCTAATATGCGACTTCTAACAGAGGATTTGTCTGGAATATCTTTTATAGTTACTCATTTTAAGCTGTTGTGTAACGTTTGGCTCCAAGCCTTTCGGTGGTTATTGCGGTATTTATCCGCTTAGAGGGCTATCAGCGACATGTTGAATACATCGAACCCCGGTCGATATTATTGTAAACAAAAAACGACAAAAATATACAATCGTACTAAGCCAGATTTCTCTCGATTTGATTATTTTATTTGCATGATATATTTAAATTAAATAGTATTTTGTTAGCCATTCAGGCAAACGCGAGCAATTCAATAAAAACAGAAACGTTCAGGCGAAAAAAAAAATGACCATCGGCTGCGGTATGTAGATAGTGATTCCCATACATTCTGTTTTTTCATTTATTCTTTGACTAGTCTGATCTAACTATTCTTTTCTAAGAGACACTTGGTGTAGTGTTTGAACACCGACAAATAGTTACCACTTAACACTGCTTATAGTCTATACGGATACTGCACTAATCTAGACCTCAATTAATATCTACCATTCCAACTTCCGTTAGATTTTATTTATCTATCTATTAAAACAGTCTAAGAAGCATTGTTTATGTGTGTGAAGAACCAAGTTGCCTTCCGGTCCACCGTATTTACAAATACTATCGCATTGTCTCGCCGCCCTTGTCACAGGGACACTTGAGGAGCTAAATGTAGGGTTTTTTATACTTCGAACTGAATTGTAAGTTTTATATAGGGCTTTGTGTTTTCACGCCAAACTTTATGTTTCTACTTTACGTATTATCTGCTACATTTTTAACTCTTTCCAGCAGTGCATTGAGGCCGCTGTGTCTCAACTGATCTACCTCAGCATGGATCGGTGTTTATATATAACTGCCGGAATATTTGTCATGTAATTTCCCTCTGGCGATTCTGCAACTTCAGTGCGAAGTGATAGGCATCACACTTGGGCCGTAGATACTTAACTACTCAGAGATGCGGCCCACGCTTTTACTATAATAACATGAATTCTCCTAATCGCATTTTAAGTCACACGCTCGCATTTAACGACGATCTTTTTGCTAATAATGTAAAAATGATGTCTAACCACCAAGAAAATAGTCAGGTTATGAGCTAGTTGTTTGATGTATAATCGAACTCGCGCGTATTATCGAGCTGTGTGTTTCATTGATGCCGACAGTGAAATTTTTGGATCACATCGGAAAATAGGTGAAAAATACAGTCAATCAGTCCCCAAATCTGCGAATTTCAAGTTTTTCTTGCGCAATGTACATATCGAAGTCACTACACCGAACGCTTGCATGCTACACATTAATTATATTTTTTAAAAGCTACAGTACAAGGGCCGAATTATATCAAAAATGCAAAAGAGTAATACAAAAAATGGCGTCAGTTTAATTAAGAACTTCAATTAGTTCACAGCTCTAATCTTTGTAAAAAAGAAATTATTGTAAAAAAAGCAGTAATATTTTTTCACCACTAAAACAGAAAATAATATTCAAATTCCTTTGTCAGTGTTACATGAACATTTAAACTAGCAAGAGATTACACTTGGCATCTCGACCTCAATTTTCCATGAAAAATGTCCGCACTGGTTTCGACTCAGAGTGATAATTACTTTTTTACATTAGCTTCTCTAATAGGCTTTTAATTATAGACCGTCTCTGGCTTATTTTGTCTTAATTGATCTCAGATTATCCTATTCCCACAGAGGATATGCAAATCAAGACGAGTTTAATTAACAACATTTTAGCCGAGTATAAAAAGAATTATTGCGGCTGTCATATGAGCGTGTTCCCGTGGAGCACAAAAATGAAGTTTTGCTTTGTTTAAAAACCGGCAAAAGTTGGGGGAAAAGGTACATATAAATACATAAAAAATTAAAAACGATAGATTACTAGCAAACTAATCTATCATTAATCATGAGAATTTTAGCCGATTGTAAAAAGAATTATTACGGATGTCATATGAACGTGTTCCCGTGGAGCATAAAAATGAAATTTTGTCTGTGAATTATGAAAAATACGGCAAAATGCTGGTAAAATATCGGGCCTCATCGGATCCAAAAATATTTGAAAAAATAAAATAAATAAAAGCATTCTCGCCCCCTGATCTATCTTTGGTGTTTGAACATTCGACATTGATTGGTTCATTTGTGAAGTGAAGAAAAGCTGTCCAAACAACAACAATAAGGAGGTCTATTCAACAGACTTCCCTAGGTTCGACTTGCGATTTATTTCAATATTGTAGCGTTTTCTACCGCCTAGCTTAACTTTTCTGAGCGATAATACTTTCTCACTCTGAGCGTTATATTATACGGACTAAAAATAAGTCAATAAAATTGTACTAAGGTTGCGAAATATTTTTGATGGTTTTTAAGATTAACTTGGGTCAACAGCTCCCAAAAAGATAAATTCCTGACTCGTTTACTTTCAACAGTCAGATAATTATGTCAATTTATTAACGCGGGCAAATAGGAAGTATTTTTCAGCGAACGGATTGGTATTTCACTACGTACTCAAAATTACTCCGTGACACACTGTTTGGGGTAGAACGGATTTTGTCTTTTAATTAACATTTTTAAAACTTTGCGATCACGTTTTGTTCGCTAAATGTGTTGATTTTGCGACATTTTTAGCCTTCTGCAAACTTTTAAATTATGCAATTAAGATCCGACACATGCGAGCTAAATGTCAAACTATTTTAAAACAATTGAGCGCTAAATTAGGTTTTATCAAAAATCTACTTTGGTATGTCTATGACGTATTATTAGTGGCATATTTATCTATGTGACGTCATTATGATTAATTGTTCGTTTGAAAATCATTATTATTCGACATTCTTTTTAAATAAAATTGCGAAAAATTTGCTCTTTGGACCTGGCATCGCTGGTTGAGGATCCGAGTTCATATCTCATGCCCACCACCTGAAGTGTATGGAAGACTAGACCATAGGTTCCCAAAGTGCTTCATACGAAGCCCTAGCAACCCAGGTGCTCGGCGAGCTTTTCTATTTACTTATTGAAAATTTTTAAATACAAAGCAGCAAATACAACGAATTATTAAAAAGATTATTAGTATTAATCGGTAAAGGACAAGGTGTTTTTGTTTGTTTGTTTTGTTTTTATAAATAAATTGTGGGGCTCATTAAATATTAGTCAACCTTTTAAACGGCTCAATAACACCAGTAGCTTTGAACTTGGCGATGTAGAACTCAAAAAATTGCGTTGATTTCAAAATATAGTAAGTTCTTGCATACCGGTGGCCTTTTCCTTGAAGCCTATATCGGATAGAATGTGTTACAGAACGCATAATAACGAATAAAAATTTGGAAGGTTTTCCCGTGCACTATTTTAGTGTAATGTGAACATTAGGTACAATGTCTTGGTAGGGTTATGGGCCACAACAACCCTAACTCCGATAGTGTGGTTGAATTCATAATGCACCTAATTAATTTGATTCATCTGTATTCAACAACGCTGTGATATTTTTTGTTTTCCGCCGAAGTTACGTGAGAAGACCACTCGCTCTCGCTGAAATTTTACGATTAATTTATTCAAAGCATCAGTTTGTCTAATTTATCCCATTTTGACATCATTATCCAAAATACTAGTATTTTAATCAACATGGACTTTCTCCATGATCAATATCAAAAAATTTACATCTGAAAATTATATCCGACCACTTTTTAAAAAAAAAAAATCTAACTACAATATCAATGTCATAACTAAGTTGTTGTTAGACCTAACTATGTTGGTGTCGAATGTTAAATAGTCATAGTTATAGTCAAGTTTATCTTTTCCACCAGTAAAAATAACATAGGAAATGGAGAAATTAAAAAATAAAATTTACCGCGCATTTTTTCCGTCAGTTCAAACCCCGCGCCCACCAGCTTACCGAGAACGAAAGGAACTGACTATAGTTTAAAATAACACAGGGTCCAAACTGTCTTTCGATAGCTTACTTCGTCTATATACTGAAACAGTAAGAGACAAGTCCTTACAAGGAATAGCAGCGCTTGCTTAGTTGCCTCGTGTATCATTGGCTATTTGTGCAAACCCTTGTTCGTAACGAAATCGCGAGGAAACCCCATATAAACGCAATTGTTATGTTTAAGGAAATTATTCTTACAACATAATGGTATCTATATACCTCACAATGCTATTACATTATTCACGTTATTTTCAGCAGTACCAATGACTTGAAACTTGTATCTAATTAAGGAGTCTCACTCGCTTCCTTGTTTAATTAACTTGTTTTATAAATAAACCGTGAACTATTGGTCTCGTAGGAATATTTTGTATTCAAATTATTGCTGTTATTTTTTAATGGCGTGATGGATTTGTATGCTGAATACTCCGGGTTCGAACCCATGTTACAACCCGTTGCGATCTACAATGCATGGTTTATTAGTTACTGTCTTGACCTAAATAATTAGGCATTGCATACTAGCGATTTCAGGGTCGAGTTCCGATGCTCTCAGCGAATTCTACACGTTAAACAGGATGTGAAAGCTACCTAAAACGTGGTAGTAGCTTCATATGTGCCGCCAGCTTGTATTGAGTCTTG